TTCTGGAAGATAGAAAACAATTCACTCTTTTCTTTCATAAGGTAAAGCCATGTCATCCTTGAATAATCATCAACAAAAATTACAAAGTACTTGTATCCATTATAAGACACTACTCTGTTTGGACCCCAGATGTCCGAATGGACTAAAGAAAAAGGACTCGATGTACAACTATCAACTCTAGGACTAAAGGAGACACGATGATGTTTCCCAAACTGGCATGACTCACAATTTAAATTAGAAAGACGACGCAACGACAGAACAAGTAACTGAAGAGCTCTAAGAGATGAATGACCAAGTCTGCAGTGCCACTGATGAGGGGAGAGAGATGACTGAAGAACTGTTGTCGAACCACCTCCATCAAGATAATATAGTCCACCAGCTTCATGCCCTCCACCAATCTTCATCCCCGTCTTGAGATCCTGAAACACACAAGAGGAAGGGTAAAAAGTTATTGAGCAACTTGGGAACTTGGGAACATATAAAACTGAGGAGAGGGATAATGAGTCAGTGTCAACATTACCAACACCACATATGGCTGATGTAGAGCCATTGGCAAGAGTAACAGATTGGGAAGTGGAGGATGGAGAAATTGATGAAAACACACTTGGAGTTCCTGTCATATGATCGGAAGCTCCAGAATCTATAATCCAATAGGAAGATGTGGATGCCAGACAAGCCGTACCTGTGTGTACAAGGGTAGCTGTGTTCTGTTGAGATGTACCCTGAATGAACCACTCATACTCATTTCGTGAAACACTCACCATCTCCTTTCTAGAAGTATCTATAGATGTAGTGGGAATCTGATCAATGACTTGAGATTCTTGTCTTGAGCTACCACCATTTACAGCTACATGATTCGCCCAGGTTGAAGGTGGGCCATGGAGGTCGTAGCAAAAGTTGATAGTATGTCCCTCCATACCACAATGAGTACACCTTCTTTGAGTATTACCACGTCCCCTACCACGGGCTCCCCTTGAGTCTCGTCCTCCAACACGACCACCATCACAATTATACATTCCACCACCACCACGACCATACATGGGTCCACCACCACTACCACGTCCATGCTGACCTCCTCTACCACCACGACCTCCCCCTCTTGTAACTGCAAATGCAGACCTATCTGACATAGTGGAAGTCTCTATGGGTCCAACTGAAGTCCTCCGAAGACGAGCTAACACTTCCTCAAGAGAGGGAAGAGCAGATCCACCTAATATCTGTGCCCTTACGGGTTCATACTCAGATTTCAGCCCTACTAAAAATCTGGTCACATCCAACTGCTCTCTTTGTTGTTGCTGAATTTGGACATCAGGTGTAAGAGGATGATAAACATTCAACTCATTTTGTAAATTTCTCAAACTGGCATAATAGTCCTCAAGACTCTGATTCCCTTGTTGCAGATTGAAGTACTCTTGGTACAGTTGGTAAACSCTAGTAGTRTTMTMTTGTCCAGAATATAGTTTCCTTGCATGATCCCAGACTTCCTTGGCTGTATCTAAAAACATGAAGTTCACACTAATTTTGGACTCCATGCTATTCCATASCCAAGTCATAATTTGAGCATCCTCCTGCTCCCATTCATCATATCCCGGAGAATCAACTGAGGGTTTATCTTCCCTCACATGTTTCACTTTCTTTTTGGCTT